CCTTTATGGGCGCATAATTTCGTAAACTACTTCCTCTTGGAAAATTAACTTCCAATTAATCAATAAGATATAATTTTTCACTTTTTAATTGCTGCCATAAAGATTATCCAATTTTATGAATCCTTAATATGAGATGATTCTCAACGATAATTGAAATACCAAGCAGATAGGATAAAGTATGATATCTGTGATACAATAATCGGCAGAAGATTGGTTGCTGTCGCAAAAATCGTCCAGTTTTCTAGATCTTTTTTTTTTTGGTTCAGTTGTAGAAGCGAACTACAAGAATCGTTCATTTGAACTAATCGTAATTACCATTAATATAAGTGATTTCATTCATTATTATTATCATTAATACATTGATCTAATCTATCCCACTATCTTTTGAATTAATGATTTCTATTAATTGCAATATGGAATATCAATTATTTCAAAACCGGCTGTTTTAAGATTATTTCTAATTAATTTGAATAGTTTAGGATTATTTAATTATTTTAAGACCGATCACTTTACATAAAAAAAAAATGTATCAATTTTAATGGCAACAATAAAATACTTATGGATCTATCTTACTTTACTTTGAATTAGTGATTACTGTTAATTGAAATATCAAATAATTCCTTTTTATAACCGATTGTTTTACATAAAATTGGAATCTACTTTAATTTAATTTGAATTTACTCCTTACAGTCTATTACAAAAAAATTTACAATGGTAACGGAAAGTATTCTCAAATATTTGAACAGGTCATCCATAATCTCGACATTTTAAGCTTGCTTTATTACTAGACATTATCAAACACTGCTATCATTGTATGAGGTTTAAGCACATCGATAACAAATAATTATTAATCTAATTTGATCTTCGATTTACCATTACTTTCATCATTTCTTATAGAGAGAAAAATATAGCTCGTATTGATTTCTTTTAGACTTTACTATTTTTCATACTTTTTTTCGTTTTAAAAACTCAAAATTAGGATGAAATGAGAAAGTTTTGCATTTTCAGGATTTTTTATATGCTATGAAGAATTGTCATGAAAACCATATGTACATACTATTAAAAGAATTACAGTATATTATTGGAAAATTTAGGATTTTCTTCAGGAAACTCAGGTTAAGGTAAAGAATCATAATATCGTAGTACCTGTTCGATTGCATAACAATTAGGTTAAAACAATGACAGGCCGGTCAATATGATGGATATTGCAAATAATTTGAATCACTTTGCTATTGAAATTCAATTAACCAGAAGTATTAGAAAAAAAAGGAAACGAGTAACCATAAAGTGACTTTCGAAGTTTTGGTCATTCTAATTTTCTTCTTCTTTTTAAATTTATATCGGAAAATTTGGATTTCTTTCTTTAGTTCATTAAATCTAATTGGAAAATTGAAAACTTCCAGATTATTGCTCAACTGATGAAGATTGCTTAAATGATGGCAAATGTATAAAGGAATCAAATGATATCGTAAGAAGGACGTGTTATTGCGCTTTTGGCTATTTTGGACAAAATTGTGATCGAAGTTCGTTTTGCTCATCACAAGTTATTATTCGTCAAAAATTTGCTTCACAGTGAAAGAATCAAGAGACTAAGTTTG